CCGGAGAGGAGCTGACGAGATCACCCTGAAAAGGGGGGGAGCCTTTCCCCTGCCCTGCCAAGGGGGAGCCCCTGCACCGGGCTCAGGGAGGGGAAGGTTTCTCCCCTCCAGCTTCCCTGCCCTTTAACTTGAACGCACCCAAAGATGCGAAACTTGGCTACGGGGCAAGGCACGTCGAAAGGGTTTTCCACTTCTTTAGCAGCAGGAGCAGAGGGCGGGAAAGGGAAGGACATGGAGTGCACACGGCGGCGGTTATCTCTGCCTCGCGCAATAGCCACGTTCCCCGCTATCAGTAAGACAGGTCCTTGAGGGCAGGCTGGATCCGGCCCAGCCCAGGGCCAGCGAGGACAGGAGCCCCAGCTGCCCGGGAGCCAGCTCTGCCCATGGCAAGCGCAGCCCCAGCGCCAAGATGGGTTTTCCTGCAGGAAAGCCATGGAGGAGCACAGCCCCAGCTCAGGACAGGAGCGGGATGCAAGGGGGATGGCAGCCAGGGGCAAAGCACAGGAGGGATGGAAGAGGGCTGATGGAACAGCCCCCAGCTCCAGGGCAGGAGCCCTGGCCGTGCAGACGGCACGGGGAGCCGGGAGCCTTGCAGCCCCGTGCTGGTGGGCCTGGCTGCGGCGCCTAATGCCCCATCCCAAGGAAACGAGTCCTTCCCCCTCCTTGATGGTGCCTCAGATGAAGAACGTGGGCAATAAAATACTAACGTGACCTTATCTTCCGAAGCACCAGAGGCACTGTCAACGCCCAGCGCACCGAAACCTGCCGCAGCACTGGGGCCAGGGGCCGCAGCCTCATCGGGGGGTCGTGAGAAACGCGCAGAGTCCCGACTTCTTCCAACGACGGGACAATACGTGCTTGGCCCCAAGGGCTTTGCAGCCAGCCCTCACCCGCTGGACACCCCTCCCACAGCACCCCTGGCGATGCCCTGGCCAAAGCACCCTCCTGCCACCCTGGCCCAGCCGCTCCCCTGTGCCAGAGGAGCCTCTTCTGGAGCACATCACAGGGTAAGGGTGCCCGAGGGGGGCGGAAAGGCACAGGTTTGTCCCAAACGCAGCCAGATCCCACGCCTCCTGCCTCCCTGGAGCCCTCCAGGCGAGCAGAGCTTGGTGCATTCTGGCATCCCAGACCTGGCTCTCGCTCCTGCCCAGCGCAGCTGAGCTGAAGCAGCAGAAATAGCTCCGTGAGGAACATCAGGCCAGGTGCCGGGAGAGCCCGTCTCTGCCCGCAGCCCCCGGGAAGTGCTCAGATAGGAGAGGCAAGAGGGGGAAGAAAATTCAGGCCAAGTTCCTGATGGGCCAAGGCACTTGGAAAGGGCCTCTGCATTCC